AAATAAATTTGGGTGTAATTACACAGTTTGGCATGTTTGTTTGGCCAAGTAATTACTTGGTCAGCATAGAATTGGGTGTAATTGAAGGGGTGTAATTACACTCTCCAATTCTCAAGGGGGAGGTGAGAATTGGTGGTAATTACACTGTGTAATTACAAAGTTGCTTTTTAGTTTCTTTCCTTTTTGTTGTTATTTTAATTTATTTTCTTTATAACTTTTTATTTCTATTATTTTAATTTTTTAATTTTATTTTTACGTTTTAATTTCTTTTGAAATTTTAAAGTATATTTTTCTTTGTACATTATTTATCTTTTATTTCTCTATCTTTACTTTACGTGATTCCATGTAATTGCTTACCATACTTTATTTTTTATTTATTTTATTATTCTATTTTTTTAAATTACACCGCCTAATATTAGAAATAATGAGTCATCAACAAACTTGGCATATAATGAGTGATGCAATTAAAGTGGAATTTCGTTGTTGAATGTGGCTATAAACTTATCATGTTTCCTATTATTAAGTTGTATTGGAACTTACTATTACTATGTTGGAATTTGACATATGTTAAACTATTTTTTTTTTGAATTTTGAAATTGTGTTATATTCATGGTTGAAATTTACTTGTTTTAGTAGTATTTGCTCACATTGCATGTTGTTCATTTTTTAGTTAGAATTGATATATTAGTTTTGTCAAACATTTGAATAATGTTATGACATTATATTTGTAAATATTAATTTATTTATCAAACATGAATTCCATGATACTCTTACAAAACGTATATTTTTTATTTTTGTAAGTATCTAAACTAAATATTATTAATTTAAAAAATATATATAAATTATTTTTACAATATTAGTTATAAATATATGATTACTAAATTAATGTATATTCACGAAAAAATATACATCTTAAATACAAAATATAATACCATTTATACTAATTATAAAAATTTATATGCATATATTTATTATATTAACTTTTAAGTTTTGATAATTACTGTCACGACCCATTTTCACAACAGGTCATGAGGGCGCCTGACACCCTTGACAGGCAAGCCAATTGCGAAAATAATTCTAAAATATTTACATTGCTTTTAATTAGAATAAGTGAAATAAACACTCAATTTGGAATTTAAACCAGAAGAGCTGAATACTGTAATAATAAAATTACACAACCCCAAAATAATCGTCTACGAAAATGTATGCCAGAACCTGGTGTCACAAGCTACGGGCAACTAGTAGAATATACATCCAAAAGAATATCACACTACCCTACTGTCTGGATCCAAATAGACAGAAAATAATAATACAAAGAAAGACTTCTTTGGCTGAGGATCGACATGGAGGGAAAGCAGCTCACCGTAGAAGTCCCAAATCCGCTCACGAATGCGCACCAGAGTGATAACCAGATCCACCTGCCTCAGACCCTGTACAGTTAAGTACAGAAGCGTAGCATGAGTACATAAACAATATGTACCCAATAAGTATCCCGTCTAATCTCGAAGAAGTAGAGACGAGAGGTCGACTCGATACTTACTAAGGTCAAGTAAAATGAGAAGAATTTATAATAAGCAGTAATAACTCAGTTTATAGGAATTAGCAAGTACAAAACATCAATTCTTCCTTTAAGTTGTCATTACGAGTGTCCATCTATACATGAAAGAAAATATGAGGCCTAACCCACATAAAAAGGGTCACATAAGTCATGCGCATATAATCACTGAGGAACGTACGGCCCGATCCAGCATAAAAATAGTAAATTGTGCACTGCCGAGGGTCGAACGGCTCGAACCATAGATGCATCTATTACCCCGCTCGCGAATCAACCGTGCGACGCGGTCAAATAGAAATAAACTCATTGCCACGCAATAACAACAATCACTACACATATTAGGGTGACCGTGCATAGAAATGCCAATTATTTCCTTTTAAGAACCAAATAGGTTAAGGGTCGTTTTCTAATTTCATTCTTCTTATCACAAGAGTTCATTAAATCCCAGATAATCAACTATACTAGAATATCACGTAAAGCATGCTCATGGCTCCTAAACTACCCGAACTTAGCATAATAGTCGCTACGCACGGACTCTCGTCACCTAGTACGTGCGTAGCCCCCAAATACAACAACAAATAATTCAATTATTATACCTATGGGGACAATTCCCTCTTACAAGGTTAGAAAGGAGACTCACCTCGTTCCAAAGCGCACTTCCAATATCAAGAACAAGCCCAAGCCCTTAATTCGGAGCCGAACGATCACAAACTAGTTAAAATAAGTAAGAACTAGTCAATAAAGGCTTACAAGGTCGAATTCTAACTATTTAAGTAATTTCCCAACCTTTTCCACGAGTTTCCTAAATTCCAACCCCGAGCCCACGTGCCCGGGTTCCGATATTTTTCAAAGGAAATTGTTCTCTACAACCTAAGGATCAATAATATATCATTTCTAGCTCATTACATAGCAAATTACATGATTAAATCTTAGTTTTATTGAAACCCTAGGTCTAGCTCTAACTCTTTGATTTTATCTAATTTTTAGTGTTTAATCTACCTAATATACATGTATTTAAACTAAGGATGAATAGGGACTACTTACCTTACAATGCTATGTTGAAACCCTCTCTTTGGAAGCACCAAAATCGCCCAAGTGTGGAGTTGTGTATGGAATAAATGACTTTGAGTTCGGATTAAATGAACTCTCTGCCCCCCAGCGATTTCCGCTTCTGCGGTACCATGACCGCTTCTGCGGAAGTCGCCTCTGCGGAAAAAGGTCCGCTTTTGCGAAAATGGCCCAAGAAGCCTGGACCGCTTCGGCGGTCAGGTGCCCGCTTATACGGGTCCGCTTCTGCGGATGTCGAGCCGCTTCTGCGGATTTGGGCCTGCGGAGCTGGACCGCTTTTGCGGTCTGGGGGCCGCTTAAGCGGGACCGCTTCTGCGGTCTCTGGGCCGCTTATGCGGTTTCCCCTTGGCCTGGCCCTTTTCGCTTTTGCGATGTGCTGACCGCATCTGCGGTCCAAGAACCGCAGATGCGGTTATAACAGAAGCAACAACTGAAGGTTGTTTTTCTTAAATTTTCTACTTCGCTCGAACCTCGCTCGTTTGACGCTCGGGGCTCCCGAGCCCCGCCCGAACATACCAACAAGTTTGAAATCACGAGGCGGACCTACTCGAACCCTCGGAACTCTCAAAACAACGCTAAATCTTAGAATCACCCCCTAAAACCAAATGAATCAAACTATTGAATCTTAAAGTTCTTAATTCTCCTCTAACGGGTCAAAACGCCGTTAAACCACTCGGATTGAGACCAAATTTTACGGGCAAGTCTTAAACAACATTACGGACCTGTACCAAGCTTCGGAACCAAAATCCGAGCCCGATACCTAGGGAATCAATGATTACTTAGTTTCTTTAATTCCTTAAAACTTCAATTAAACAATTTTAGATAAAAAATCATTACTCGGGCTAGGGACCTCGGAATTCGATTCCGGACATACGCCCAGGTCCCATATTTTTCCACGGACCCTCAGAAATTGCCAAATCACGAATCCGGGACCGTTTTTCCAAAATGTTAACCGAAGTCAAACTTGGTCTTTTTAAGAAAATCTTAAAGAAGCAAATGGGCATATTTTTACTCAAACTCTTCCAACTCCCAAATCGATCGCCCCCGCAAGTCGTAAATTAGTTAAAGTAAGTACGAGAGGCTTTATTTAGGGGAACAGGGTTCGAAAAGGTAAAACGACCGGTCAGGTCATTACAATTACTTAATTTAAAATTTAATCTAACTGTGTAATTACACTTGTGCAACCAAACAGTAAACTTGTAATTACACTGTAATTACACTATGACAAAAAACAGGTCGTCGTAATTACACAACTGTGTAATTACTAGGCTTTGTAATTACTACCCTAGTAATTACACCAATTCCAATTACAGGGTAGCTTTCCAAACAGACTCTTAATTCAACTCATAACATAATCATTATCAAAAGTGCACGATGCAAGGAGTAAAAATGCTCGCAAAAGTTGCAATAATTAATCAATTAATAAGAACAAATAAAATAAAGTAAACTGGAGAAGCCCTGGACCTAGCACATATTCCAATTCATTTATTGCTCTATGGATTTTCCATTTTTCCTATTTATCGAGTTTCATGATGTCGCTTGTTCCATCGGCGACATACTCGTAATTTTACGTCAATACGTAGATCATACAGCATAAGTATTCATTTTTTACGTTTTTAGTTTAAAAAAAATCAATTACGTATGCATTGTGTGTGCGAATGGAAAAGAAACTAATGCACGCTTCTTGTTTTTCTAAACATCAAATATCTTAAAATAACTTCATTAATTCGTCACCCAAAAAAAACTACATTTAGTATTTTCGAAGAAATAAGGATTCTTTCCTATCTATCCCACTAACTTCAACTAAACAAATACTCTCTCCGGTCCAAAATAAGTGATTTTTTGGCCTTCTTTTTGTGGTCTAAAATAAGTGATTTTTCCAGATTTCAAGAATGAATTAATTATTTTTTTCCTACATTGCCCTTGGAGTAAATAGTGTTGGAGTATGTGTTAGGAGTGTTTATGTGGAAAGATAATACTGGTTAATATGGTCAATTTGATTGCTAATTAATGTTAAAAGGTGAATTTCTTAATCTGTGTGAAAACAGCTGAAAAATCACTTATTTTGGACCGGAGGGAGTATATATCAACCTACACCAAAAGAATCGGTAGCCTGGTGCACAAAGTATCATGTATTCAGATAGGGTCTAGGGTCCGGTGAAGAATCGCACTCCTAGAGGTATGATTTAGATAGTCTACCCTAATGCATGAACAAAAATCGCAAAGATAAAGAAATTAAGCGTGAGAGAAAATCTCAATGAATCAAAGAAAAACTATTGTTCTCTATTACCTTCTAATATCTAGTCGGACGTATTTGTAACAGCTCAACCACTAGTAATATTGTCTATTCTGAGTAGCTGCACGACTTTAAAACGCGTCAATTTCCTGAATAGTTCATCTTTGCCAAGGCAAACCATCTCCATGTCAAATCTTTTAAACCATTATCATACACCTCACAGAACTTCCTCTGCCACCCTTTAGGCTCAACAGGACTATATCCTAACCCGGGAGCTCGATCATTCGAACCAAGGTTCAATGGTTTAGTCCAATCCACAACATAAGCTGACACCCTTCTCCTAAATTTAGCCTTAAATTCAGGCCAAGCTTGATATTTATAATGATTCACCACCATTTCAAGAACATTCAGTTTCTTCACATTGTACCCTGGCTTCAACTTAAAATGATGTATCACATTAAGCAAAGAATAATCCACAGCATCCAAAAATACTACAGACTTGTGTCTATTCTCCATTTTTCTCCTACAATTATACCCTTGTACCACTCCCTTTGCTGGATGTACCTTCTGTTTCGACGGTCCAAATTCATAACAAGGGATGCTAATTTGTGCAACATTTTTCATGGTCGATTTTCTAGATCCCACTTGTGCGATTACACTGAGTATGTTGTTGTTGTTCACAGTCGATATTCCTTCTGAACTCGGTAATATAGAAGGTAATAGTAATTTTGATGGTTGAGTTAAATTTGACCAAGATGGAGAGTACACAAATTCATCTACATCAATGTACATAATCCATGAACATGAATCCTTAGCAAAAATTGCACTATGGGAAAAACCAGCTTCTTGCGTTTTTGGCCATAGCCAAAAATAAGTTTGCACATTATAGCCTTCTTCAACTAGCTCCTCAACAACTGTGGCTAAATCATCATCACTTCCATTATCATATAATATAAATTTTTCAACTCCAATTTTAGAATGGTATAAAACCCATTCTCTTAAGAATTTAGCCACGTTGTACACCATAGTGCAAAAACAGAGGTTAGCTTTTTCAGGGCTAGCAAGTTTCCGTTGTGGCGAATAATAGGCTACTGTAGGGACCACAATAGGAGTGGGTCCTACAATTTCAATTGACACTTTGATTGGCTTATTAACGGCGAAATCCGGCCGTGTACAACGGAAAACTTCTTGTACTGAACTTGCCACGGCGGTTTTAACGCCGTCGCCGAAAATACAGGTGAATTCTGTGGGTTCTCTGTTAATGCCTTGATGATTGTTTAACCCTTTGACGAATAAAACGACGTCGTCATCAGTTGTGAGAGAGTCGTAGACGAGAAAACTCCACCGTAACAGCTCCGGCGAAGGTGAATTCCGATAAGAAACATTAGCAGAAGAGCTCGTCAAAATGGGTTGCGTAAACGGCAATCTCCGACGAGCCCGGCTAGGAAGTTTGCAGTTGAAAATGGACCGGACCGGAAATGGAAGCTCACCGGCGGGAACAGCCGGAGATTCCTCTCCGGTATCAAAACCACAGAGAAAACTAGAATTATTATAATGGGTTTGTAGAGGGGAAAAATCAGGTGAAACGATGACGTAGACTTCCCAATCCGGCATGAGAATGGAGACAGAGGGAATTATAGGGAATTTTCGAGAAGGGGTATTAGGGGAAGAAAAATTTTCATGAAAAAGAAAATTGGGTGTGGTGGATTTGATAGTAGTATTGTGAGGATTAATAATATCGTCGTGATATGCAGAGAAATCATGGCGAAGAAAATGGTGATAGAGAGTAGCGAAGAAGAGGAAGCAAGTGAAAATGTAAAGGAAGCTGGAGCGAATTACTTTTCGGGCCATAGTTTGTTAATGATGAAAATGATGGTAGGATTTTATAATGGAAGAATATATAGTAAAGTATTTATTAAATACATTAATAATGGAGGAATATGTGTTTATATACTTGAGTATAAGTTGATGAACTCGATTAAGTTACCAACATTCCTTTTTAGGTTAGTAATCTCTTTTGAATTCAAAGTTCTAAGAGTTGCAGAATGGTATTTATTGAGGGGTCTTTTTCTTTTCTTGATATGTAATTCAACATATCACATAATCTGTCTTTAGAGGCAAACCCAGAATTTAAAGGTCGGAATATATTTTTAGATTCATTCAAAATCTGTTTTGTATATAGGGTGTCCACTACTAATATATCACTATTTTTTAAAATTATATACATGTATATATAAAAAAATTGCTAAACTTTACGGGTGACGTTGATCTCTCTCGATAATATGTATGTCTCACTTAACCATTGGTTACTGAGCTCCTGTTTGGACATGGATTTTGGCTATTTCATGAAATTTGATTAAAAGTTGGTTTAGAATAGTTTGAAATTTTTTTATCCACTCACAAAACTTCAATATTTTGTTTGGCATAATAATCGCAAGAACAAGCAACATAAAAGAATTCGTAAAGAACATTCTAGTTCTTTAATATTTACCCATGTGAATTCTCTTTTATTTTTGCACATCATGCTTAAAGTAATAGGGCTAAATTAATTATGCCAACCTCCGGATGAATTATCAATATGATAAACTTCAAGTTTACACCATGCGTTTGTAATTATCAATAAACTCCAAATTTATTATGTATATCAATAAACTTCTATTTTATTGTGGCATTCTTTTATTCATATAGTAAAAACTGGAGAATAAAGCGGGTAACTGTTCACATACATATTACCCCACTACAAGCTATAGCAATGGAAGATATTAAATCTTTTCTTTATTTATACTCTCATATAACCAACCGCTTTCGCGAATACTTTAGAAACTCAATAAGTTGCTTTCAGACACCATAATACCTTATTGATAATCAATTTTATTTTTCCAAAATAGTATAATTGGCTCTTCCAGAACTCTTTAATTTTGTACCACCACATATTCATCAACATCCATGTGATGAAAATCTCTTTCAAGGAGAAAGTTATATCATTATGGTCATGGTCAAAATCATTATAGGCAAGAATGTTGTTTCTATTTGCCCTATAATAATAATATTGCAATAATATTTTGGCATAATCACAATAGGTACGTGATCAATGACCATTTATGCCATAATAATGAAACTATTTTCTTATTTCATCTCAAACCTCTTAGTAGAGGTTAGTGTGGTATATTCACTACCACTAGCACATTCATATTATTACAAGAATGAATATGTATTCATAAATCACATGTCATGAATGGACCATAATCATCTATATGTGCTTTACAAAATATCATGTCAAATTGATGACAAACATTACTTTCACAGAGTGAAGGGTTATTCTGAGAGTCCTTATTGTTCTAATTGCCACAATTATGACGATTATAATTTCGTCTATTGCCACGTCCATATCCATTGATACCTTCACGGTAATAGTTTTGTCTTCTTTCAAACTTATCACATATTCCTACGACATTCTCTTAAGGAGATGAAAATGAAGCAAATTCAATGGGACAAGTTTCCACTTCTTGTGCTCACAATCATGCATAAATTTGATCATGGCAAGACATAAAAATTTTACCACTTCGGGTGGTTATAATTTCTTACAAACTCCATTAGAGTTATAATTAAAATTTGTTGTCTTTGCTTGTATTTAAAATCAAATTATAGAATGTCAAGAATTTAAAAGTGAAAAACAAGGTAAAATACTTACCTTAAATCCAGAATTTGTTCCCGAGGGGATTTCATGGAGCAATTGACAATCATTATGCTCAATATTATGTATAAGTTGAGCACCATACACGTATCCCAAAGCCTCTACTTAATCGGTTAGAATCTCGTGCTGATAACGTCTTATGAAACAATAAAAGAAGAAAAAGAGTATTGGAGAGAAAAGTAGAGGGGGAATTCTTATTGATTTGGGATGAATTACAATGCAATAAAACACCTCTATTTATAGGGGAAAAAGTGACTTAGTCCCCAAATAACGAACCCTAAAATCTCTCTAAAATAGAGACATTCATCTTAAATACAAATCTATTTATAACAATGCTTTTATTGTTATTAACTTGTCATTAAATACCATATCAGAAACTATGTACTAGTAGTATTTAAGTTCTAAAAATCTTGATTTGGAAAAACAATTAATGGGGTCTGAGAAGGATAGAATGCCGGATACTTTACCCCTTCCTTGTGTGAGGTAAATAGGCTATTTCCGATAAAGCCTCAGCTCAACAAAAACTACTACTATTTTGAGTAACATGATTCAATAAATGATACTTAACAGAAAAAGAAAAAAGAAAACTTGTTTCCTTTATGAACAAATTAAAAATGTACAAGGACTAATGTCTGTCCAAGGAGCGAGCAGCCCCCATGGAATGGAGTTTTAGTGTTATCTCAATTGTAGAATCTATTCGACAGTTGGAGAACTACCCCCACACTATTCCACTTGTTCTATCTTGGATCATGGTTTCAAAATTTCAAATCTTACATCAGAAATTTCCTAGCTTTACTCTAAAAAATTGGAAACATAATCTGTACAAACTTTTTCCTGAAGTTCCTAATACAATGAAGCCCTCATTCCAGGTCACTGTCAATCGTAGCGACCTGTGTTTTCTGGTTCACAACCAACAGGGCTTAACAAAAATTAGAGTTGTAACGCTAAATCTGGCTGCTGTGAGGGACCGATTTGCAAACTAGCGCTAGGGGAGCCCGGAGGCTGAACTATTACATTCAGGTCAGGGGGAACTGACATTTTGCTCCACTGCTGACCCGAAGATGCAGGCCATGATTCACCGGAAACCCTCCCATTCTGTTCTGTACAAAATTCAGGATTTTTACCTTGTGGTAATGAATTTCCAGAATACAATGTTGCCCAGCTTTCTAACAACTTGTTTTCTGCTGAAGTGACATGGTTAGAAAGTGCAGGATGAAAAGATGGATTATCTCTTACAGGAAGCGTTCCAAGCACTTGATTAGGCCTAGATGCCTCTTGTAGGCCTGACTGTCCTTTACACATGGAAAACCTTGACAACTCCGCCTGCTGCGACGGCTCATGCCCAAACATGCCATTGAAACCATTTCTTGGCTGAAGGAGAGCTTTCTGCGGAGCTGGGCAGGAGGTAGACACAGGATTTGCCCACGAAAATCCCCCATCACCAGAACCCTGTCTGGTTGGCTCATTTTGACTATTCAATCTCTTGACAGCTTCAAAGATTTCGGCAGAAGGCTTGCACATTACAGCAGAACTTAATCCAGGAGGTGACGGTGTAACGGGTCTACTAGAATGGTGATCAGCTGCCGAGCTATCTAACAATGATTTCTGGATCTCAGCTGAAGAAGTCGATGGCTCTATTGGACCTCCACCATCTCCCACCCATCCAGGACCAAACTTTACTCCAGCAGGCAAAATATGATCCAACTTCTTAGAAGCCACTTTCCAAACAACAGGCCCGAGATTTGCAGCAAATCTAGCAAGGCTTCTCGCATAAGCATGCTGCTCGAAGTGAATACCAACCTGTAGTTATAATCAGATGACACTGTTGGTCTTGGTAAAGTAAGACAAATGTAACATCTCAGCATGCATAAGGGTTGGGTTGGCGGGCAGGGTTTTCTTTTCAATTGTTGGGGGGGGGGGTAGGGGGGGGTAGGGGTAGGGTAGTAGGGAGTAGTGAGTAAAAACGAGAGACACAAAAGAACTAAGTAAGAAATTCGAGGACGAAGAAATTAGGTTAAGTAATTAGGTCAAAACCCGTAGTCACACCAGATACAAGTAGTGGTAATCTTAGTAAGTTGTTTAAC